ACAAAACATGACATTTCTCTTAGCTAGCATACAAGTTAGGAGTTACCTGAAAATCTCTTTTTCACTATAGATCAGGAGTGATTTTCTATATGGGTTGGCTTATTTATCCACTCAACTATAGCTAGCTACGCATGCCAATGATGGGAGATTTGGGCATTCTAGGCTAAAACATGGAAGACCACCAAGAGAATACTTTAGGACTTGGAAACCTGGTTCTAAAAATACAAAACCCTCACTCCTGGATTATACCCAACACCTTTATGAACCTTTTCAGATGAAGTATTGAGATGTATTGTTAATTAAAGAGAGGAAATGGGAGCTGATCGTGCCTTCCAGTCCTCCCTCGCTCATTTTCTTTCAGTCTCCGCTCATCAGATTTTTAGTGCTTCCCTGTAGGCACCCACGATCTTCCACATCACACTTAGACAATAAGTCTCCACCCACAGCTCATTTTCTTCATGCAAATCTGTCAGAATCCCTTTCCATGGCATGCAAGAGTTCTGCATCTAAATCCATTGGACCCTTGAGACAAGGATGGTGTTTTAAAACATTGCTTTCCATGGAATCCAGTTGGTCTGCATCTAAACTCATTAGACTCGAGAGAGAGCTGATTATTTCCCCTTACCACTTCCCATTTCATGAAAATGGGTTGTTTCCATCACGGTGACATGGGTAGGGGAAATAACAGGAAAACAAGGGGAAATGGTTTTATTCCTTCAAACTTCTGTGCCCCCATAGGCATCTAACAATCCCACACTTAGTCAAGTTTAAAAAGCACAACACAGAAGTTTTTTTTAAAAAAAAACCCCAATTAAATAGTAACAGTGTGGTAAAAACAGATTAAAATACAATAAATATACTTAAATAGGCTTTAAATTTTAATGACACTCCCTCCATTGTATTCTCTAGGATCATTTACTTATTGCATGCATTTGTGTGCATGGATTCCTATCATGATTATCAAATTACTATGATGTTTTGCATCACATGGTTTCATCTACACATGCTACAAGCATGTCTGAGTGTTTTAACTGTTTCTAGGTTTTTCAAATAGCCATCGATTTTGTGAAATTTTGTGAAATTTTAATTACAATATTATTGTGTTGTTTTTGTATATTATTGTATTTAAACACATGTTGTGAACCAGCCTGAGTCCCTCATTCGAGGTGAGAAGACCGGTATATAAAACTTCTAAATAATAAATAAATAAATAAATTATGATACGATTTGGTATTGGAAGTGATCCTCGGGGATGACACCACAAACGATTGCACTGGGTAACACCAACTCTAAGAATGGCACTGAGAACAACATTTCATAGTATATGACAACCTGGGCAAATGAACCTTTTTTTCTAGTCAGATGGCAAAATGGAGCGACAATCAAGGCCATGGAGATGTATGGAGCGGAGGAATTATGGCAATGACAGGCAACTGCTTAAAGTGAACAGACCCCAAAATTGTTCATCGACCAAAGCACAGCTGGCTGACAGAAGCCTTCACTTGGTACTGATATAATTGTCCTTGAGTGTATGCATCTTGCCTTTACTCCTGGCATTTTGGTATGCCATTCTGTGTGAAACAACCTGTCAGTATAGGTTGAGGGGCAGTAGCAGGCCCCTTCTCCTGAATCCTAGATCTATTCCCCTTTCTTGAAAGACAGACCTATGTACATCTCCCCACCAATGATTGCATCCCTAAACCAATCTACTATTCTGTTGCAGAAGGTGATAATAGAACATTATCTCTATCTTTTACTCTACCTTCACTGCTAGAATAAAATTTTATTCTAGTATAATTTTGACATACATCCCAATTCCATTACTTTTATTTTTAATTATGACTTTAAGTACTTTAAAATTATGGTAAGAACATGAAGGTTATTTATTTGTTAAAGCCAACAAACCTGTTTTAATTCTAGTGACAGTGAATTAAATATTCTCCATTAATTTTGGCTTGATCTCCTGCTTTAAAAATGTCCCAGTTTCTCCCTCCTTCCCCACTTCCCATCTTTTTAGTAAACCCTCTTATTGCATTCAGGGCATCCAACAAAAGCTCTCCACCAGCTGAAAGGCAATACTGTATTTCCTGATTGCTTTGTGTAAGTCCCTCTTGGCAATGCATTCACATTTCTAATGTTGTTCAGGACCACAAAGGGCAAGGTATTGTGTTGTGCTTCCAAGAACCACTCTCATTTTAGCCAGAACCCAGGATACATATTTTGAGATAACAGAGAGCACACATTGAGGTGGGAGAGAAAAAGCTTTAGGACACAATAGAGAGTGGTTTTATTTATTATTTTATTTTATTATTATTTTAGTTACTTTATCTGCTATCCAGTGAAGAAACAGCAATGAAATAGAACTCATCCTGATTGTGTTTGGGAACACCTTTTCATGTCTTTCCAGGACTTTCACTGTGTTAAAGCAATGTTATAGGGACATTGTTTCCTTTTAGCAATTCTTCTCAAACACATTTCCAAAAGCCAGCTCTGTGAAATGAAAAAATGGACAAAGAATGAAGACCTGCGCTGTTTTTCAACAGTCTATACACTTTTATATATTTTTGGTATAAAAGAACAGCTTATAATTAATCAATGGGGAATGTTACAAGGGCAATTCTAAAATAAAAATTGAGTAGTACTCTGCATTTGTGCTAGAAATGCAAGTTTGTATGCTCTCTCTTTTAATGTTCCTCATTTCACTCTTGCCCAGGGCTGGTCCAAGAAATGTTGTTGCTGCCTAACATGAAGAATAAAATGGTATCCCCTTCCTCCAATTCCCTATCAACCCAGTTGAATACATAGCCTCCAACTCCATAAATTTGGTAGAGACAGTCCAGATTAATCCTCTGTTGTCCCACTATTTCAACTGCTTTAAAACTGTCCCAGTTTCTTTCTGCTATCCCAGATTATCTGGTAATGTAGACTTATATAATCCAGTTCAAAACAGATGACCTGGGATCAAATCCTGGGATATAGGGCAGTGTAGATCCAGCCTCATTTTTCCGGCAGCACATTTTAACTGTATCATTCTACAAACTCTAGATTCTAGATTATTTCACAGTTGGTTTTCTTCCAGTACTCATATACAAACTCTAATGGCATTTTCATATGAAACAGCTGTTAAATATTTTTGAGCTCATATGCATGCAGGATAGTTCTTAGAAAACTGGCATATTTAAGCTGAAACTGTTGAACCTCAACTGATGATAAAGCATAGGAATATAATGCTGTAATTCCTATGTGTACTTAGATAGTACTATGCATTTCTGGATTTAATGGGTAGCACCCAATAATCAAGACATTATTTATTTTTTATTTATTTCATCTACTTATACCCCGCCCTTCTCACCCCGAGGGGGACTCAGGGCGGCTTACAGGAAAGGCACAATTAGATGCCCAAAACACACAACAAACAATACAAAATATAACAATTCAACAATTAAAATAAAACATCAATACCTAATAAAAACATAAAAACTATCTCATGTCAGAGTCCATATATCAGAGTCCATATATCCATTCCATTCCATTGTCCTTGTCTATCGACAGGTCCTTTAGTTAGTTGTCAGCATGGCCAAAAGCTTGGTCCCACATCCAGGTCTTTAGTTTTTTCCTAAACGCTAGAAGGGAAGTCGTCGATCTGATCTCCCCGGGGAGTGAGTTCATAGGTGAGGGGCCACCACTGAGAAGGCCCTGCTCCTCGTCCCCGCCAATCTCACTTGTGATAGGGGCGGGGTCGTGAGCAGGGCCTCCTCAGAAGATCTCAAATTCCGATGTGGGACGTAGTGGGAGATCCGTTCGGACAGATACACTGGGCCAGAACCGTATAGGGTTTTGTATGTTAAAACCAGCACTTTGAATTGTGCTCGGAATTTGATCGGCAGCCAGTGGAGCTAGACGCGGGACAGTTGGCCAGACGGAGAAGAGACAGAGGAGAAGCAGAACGAAACAACAAAGCGGCAGCCAGTGGAGGACACAACAGGGGGTGGTATGCTCCCTGTATGACGCTCGGTGAGCAGCCTGGCTGCCTCCCGTAAGTGAAGTTTCCGAACAGTCTTCAAGGGCAACCCCATGTAGAGTGCGTTGCAGTAATCTATTCGGGATGTAACAAGAGCGTGGACCACTGTGGCCAGATCAGACTTCCCAAGGTACGGGCGCAACTGGCGCACAAGTTTTAATTGTGCAAAAGCTCTCCCGGCCACCGCCGAGACCTGGGGTTCCAGGCTCAGCGATGAGTCCAGGATCACTCCCAAGCTGCGAACCTGCGTCTTCAGGGGGAGTGTAACCCCGTCTAACACAGGCTGTAACCCTATACCCTGTTCGGCCTTCCGACTGACCAGTAGGACCTCTGTCTTGTCTGGATTCAATTTCAATTTGTTAGCTCTCATCCATGCATGCATAAATCTCTTTTTTTATAACTTGCAAGGAAATACCCTCTAGCTCTTTTCACCCTGTTGAAACCTCATCCAAGAGTAAGTACGTAATTATTCACTAATTTTGTTAACAAAGGAAGCAGCAAGTAATTTAGCTCCTACTGCTGTTAATATTGTTATTATTAATAGTATTTTCAGCATTGTTATCTTTAAAGACTATTTACACTTCAGAACCTACTGTGTGCAAAAACCAACATGTAGTATTTTTGTATTTTCTGCATAGCATTTTCTGCAAGTACCCATTTTATGTGCAAAAAAATTAATCATTTTCCAGCATTGAGTGGGCTTGAACACAGAAAACTAATTTTTGTGTGTGCAGGAAATAGGTCTGCGCAGAAAATAGTATTCTTTTCACAGAAAGTATTTCCTGTACAGAAAATGCTGTTTTCTGCAGAGAATAAGCTCTGAACTGTGATGATTTTGTTTATGCTTTTCCTTGTACCATTTTCTTGACATTTTCCAAGCATTTCTCAATTGTTTTTGAATACTCTTTCCATCCTTACTGTCAAAGCTCAATTGGGCAACTGCTGCTGCTGTCTTACCAGTTGAGAGCGAAGAGAAAATTCAGGTGATGAAGACAGTGCTGGTTTGCTCTGCTCTCTAAGAAGAAAGGAGAGAAAAAACATACATTTATCTGTAACTATACTCTCATCACTTCCTTGCTCCAGACCAATATGAGTAACTCATTCATAATCTGAACTGCTTCCTCCTACTGTCTGTGTCCTTGACTACTGCTGTGTTGGATGGGAGGAAACTTGAGATGCAGCTACACTGTACAATTAATGCAGTTCAACTCCACTTTAACTGCTATGGCTCAATGCTATGGCATCTTGGGAATTGTTATTTTTCAAGGCATTTAGCCTTTTCTTCCAAATAACGCTGGTGCCTCATCAAACTATAGCTGCCATGACTCCATAGTATTGAGCCATGGCAGTTAAACGGGTGTCAAATTGCATTAATTGTACAGTGTAGATGCACCCAAACAGCTGCATAGGAAGAGTTTTGCGTTTCACTCGATGCTGGACCTTATGCAATGTTAATTACATCTCAAGATCTACACATATACAGCTCTAGCCATGTGATTACATACTGTATGTATTTTATCCATTTTAACCTAGCCCAGACAGAACAATTGCAGAAAACAGAAAATATAAATCCACTGCTTTCTTGTCTAGATTTCTTGTTCTTGTATTCTGTCAGTTCTAACTTATCCCAAACAGAGCAATTGTATAAAACAGAAAGATCTTATGATTACTTGCCTAGATGGTGATAAGTGGTGGCTTGGAATCATTTGGAATCATTTCCAAAAAATTACTTTTTTTCTCCCTCAAAAATATTTAGTCACCTCTTAAAAATCAGACAGCAGCTGTGACCAACATAAGATAAAATCTGTTTCAAACATTAAACTGTGGGGATTTATAGGAAACTATAGGAGTTTTCACTCTAATCCTATAGAAGTTTTGATGAAGTCACTTAACTTTCCCTCCTCCTGTGCTCCAGAGAAAATGTGTTAGGAAAGAGTTTGAGTTCTGCCAAAACCAAAGATGAAACAAAAAACAAACCCTGCACACACTGAATTCCCATTATATGCAGGAGTCTCACAGTCAGTTTTGAAAGATGCTAATTGTTCTACATCTTGTTGTATTCACAATCTCTGTAATATGATGCTGGCTTATGTCCAAGTGCTTTTGTATACATGCTGCGAGTTTGATTCAAATGCAGAACATAGAAGAACAGAGCCTGTTTCAGCTAGACGCACTATGTGAATATCATATATGGAACATTCCCCAAAATTTAAGTTTTATGCAATGGACAGCTCCTGTTAGTATAACATCTGATCACATTCATTTGCTCTGATTTAGGACAGCTTCTAATTGCCTTAATATAGCCTAAGTCATGACAAAAATGCATGGCACATGGTGTAGCAGCATCCCAACTGATGGTGAACTTTGGGGAGGAAAGAAGGGGAAGATTTATACCAGATCTACTTTTCCAATCCAATAGGTGACTATCCAGTACTTATGTACTGACTGCTTAAATACTGACCAATCATTGGGTGGTCTGGCATGAAAAGTTCTGCCAAAGCAATAGAATTATGGCTGGAATAGCATTACATATCTAAATTAAAAACAAAAGTATTTAAATTAAGTTCAGTTGGTGCTTGTTGTGAGGCCGCCCTGAGTCCCTCTCCCTGGGGGTGAGAAGGGCAGGGTATATAGGAAATAAATAATAATAATAATTCCTGCTCTTATAACAAGATATCAAAACATGATTTAAAGTAAATTTAAAATGAGAAATAATTTTACATGCCAGTTTTAAAAGCCAAATCCAGGTGGAATAATATTGTTTTCTTCAGCCATTATAAATTCCACAGATATGGATCTTAATTCTCCTTTTGGGGGAGAGTTGTAAAACCAAGATGTTTGTACAGATCAACTTTGTTATTAAGTACCTTCAGGTTGTTCCCAACTTATGGGATTTTCTGAGGCTAAGGATATGTGACTTGCCCAATGGGTTTTCATGGCTAAGGATACAAGCCCTGCTCTCCAGAGTCACAGTCCATTGCTCAACCAGTATGCCACACTGGCTCTCCATAGATTCACTAACAATTCAAATCCCTTTTCAGAATGAACTTTTATAATGCAATTAACTATGGCACAGTCCAGTGTTAAAATCAGTCAGGCAAGCTGGTGGGGAAAAAAAAGGAAACTGAAGAAATGTTATACATTGTACTACAAGATAAAATTAATGACAGCATCATGATAACTTGAAAAAGATACTTCGGTCTTTTCTCCCTCCTTCTCTCTTGAACTATTGATTAGCAAGTTCACCACCTAACAGTAGAGTTGGTGAGGGATTCATTAAGAGGGCCTTCAGTCAGTGGAGAACAGATTGCTGAAACATATTATTACCTGCTAAATGGATTCTTCTCATTGGCAATAAGGGATCAACTTGAATCCAGTGACAGAAGCCTTAATGGAGAGTACTTGGGGACTTGTAATGCAATAGAAAAGTAATTGCTTTCATATTGGAGATAAAAGGTGACATTTTGCTATCATTGGTTGCTTCCATGTTGTCATGGCCGGGTTTGGGGGGGGGGGCTATGAAAGAAACGAGGCTGACTTGCCATTAAGGACAATATGCAATTTTTTGTAACATACTTGAAGGGAGTCTGCAGCTATTGTAAATGTTTCATTACAGCCAGAAAAAGAGCCCTTCATTGCTACAATCAAATAACACTATACTTTTAGGTCATGATCAATGTTTAAAGACATAGCTAGCAAGCTATATCTCTAAATAATATATATAGGAGGGGAGGAATGGGGGAGAGAGAGTATTTGCCATACAATACAGGCTGAGCATCCCTTATCCAGAATTCTGAAATCCAAAATACTCCAAAATCTGAAATATGTGGCAGAGATAGTGACAGCTTTCATTTCTTATGGTTCAGTGTAAAAGAAATTAAAAATGTTTATAAAAAGCTCCTAAGGCTTTGTGTATAAAGTTAATATGAAACATAAATAAATTTTGTGTTTAGACTTGGGTCTACAGAATATTACATTATGAAAATACAGGTATTCCATAATTAAATCTGGATATATTTCATTGATTTCTTGATTCTTGAATTTGAATTATGGATGGTCTACTGACTGACCCATTTTGCTTATATTTGTTCAGACTTATAGTTTGTATATAGAATGACTATACGTAAATGTGTAAACCTATTGCTTAATTAGGCTGGCTGACTGACATGCTAAAAATGACGGATATATTTTTTTTCTTTTGACCTTCTATCCTGTTAAGTTTCCATATATGCAAACATGACCTGGACTTAAATGGGCTTGAATGAGCAATTAAGACCCATTAGCTTTACAAAAGATGAGTTCCTTTTTTTAAAAAAACCCTGATTTTATTTTTTTGTTGTGTAAATGAAAAAAGAAGAAAAAGAAAACAAAGGGAAAAAAGGGGGAAACATACCATAAAAAGAAACAAACATTTTAACAAGACATTATACAGTCATCAAAGCCAAATCATATACAAAAATATTAATGACTGTACAATTATCACTTCTTATTAAACCCCTACCCCTATTACCCCACACCCATTAACCCACAAAAGATGAGTTTCCGATGGAGATAATGACTTCTTGTTGACTTTATCACTGGAAAAGATAATTTTGAACTTACATCACTTTGAGGTGAGTTGTCTTCGGGCCTATCCAGGCAGGCTGTTATCCCAGGAGCATCCACTTTTTAAAAATGAGGATTTTCCTGGGGACCCATCTACACTCACCCCAGAAAGCACACACTTTCTGGGGTGGGTGTCCAGATGTTGTGCTGGGACTTCAGGGGATGGGGTTAAGTGTCCTGGTGTTGTACTGGGAAGTCTGCAGAATACGGAGTAAAAAAGGGAAAAAAGCTCACCTGCATGGGACAGCTGTGGGAATACTGTCTGGACTGTAGTTACAATTTTATCTCTACACTGCTGGTTCTGTCAATAAACTACAGATTTCTGCAGTCCAGACACTGGAAGTAGTGAGTTTATCCCATGCCTTCCAAAAAGGTGTGGAATAAACTCACTATCAAATTAATTTGATAGGATTTTCCTAGTTTGTGGCGAATTAGTTCTGGGTTCCCCAGAACATTGTCTGGACAGCCCCCTTTTCACTGTGGAAGTTTCTGCAATAAAGGGGCTGTCTAGATCTGCCCTGGATCTCCTTGGCTTCCTCATACCATCTCATGTCTCTGACTTTCATCATTTCTGCTATTTTAACTTGTCAGCTGATTCTAATAATGTGAGCATCATGATAACTTAGATATTGTGTTTTTCTATATTTCATCTTTGATGTAGACTTGGATCAAAACAACTGCCTGTTTGTTGTTTGTGGAACTAATCATGGTGAGTGCTAGTAGTTCCAATTTTATCTCTACACTGCTGGTTCTGTCAATAGACTACAGATTTCTTACTATGACAAAACCAGATGGGCAGATCTTTAATACATCAAAGCATGAAGTTTACTGCATTGTACAATCCTTTGTCAATTTCTCCGTAGCACCTTTTGTTCTTTGCACCTTCTGACTGAATATCCACACAGTTCTATGTATTTTTACCTCTTCCTGCTGCATTCTTACACATGCAGCAATAAACATCCATACAATGCCAAAATAGAATATACTTTTAAAAAAGCATACAAAGCATTAAATTGACTTCATTTATTTCAGAGATTTGGATTCAGGATATGGATTTCCTTTACATAGGCACTGGATTTCAACTTTTTCTTTGTGTGTTTTTGGTATTTACGTGTTTTGCTAAAGAGCCCGTGGGGATAAACACTTGGAATCTATACTCATAAAGAGTCTCTCAGCTCCTGCTGAGCTGATGGCATTTCCAAAGTTTACCACCTTGACTTCAAGCTATCATTTTCTTCACAATACACTTCAGTAGACTGCATTGATAGCAAAACTCCCACATATTTTACAGTAAACACTATAAAGGAAGTAAGAAGCTATTGTCCCTGTAATTGTTTCCTGGGGAAAAAAAATCAACTTGTCTTCTGACATATCAGGCATGTGTTGAAATGAGTACAGCATTCAAGAAAA